TAGTGAGTTCTCATCATATACTCACTTAGCATTGCCTGATAGTATTCAAACAGCTGATGGTACATTTCAGCCAGTGGTTGGTAAGGGTACAGTCGATTGTACTGGTTCTGTAACTTTGTGCAATGTTTTGCATACTCCTTCCTTTCTAGTCAATCTTTTGTCTATTAGTTCTATCATCCTCTAACTAAAATGCATTGTTTCTTTTGATATTCCCAAGGTGATTTTCCAGGAGAAGGGGACAGGACGGAGACTTGGGACTGGCACATGGCGTAGTGGACTGTGATATCTGGATCGTGAAGGGCTGGATTCAGCATTGGTGTCAGTCATAGAGGAAGCAGGAGTAGGATCTAAAATGAGTGCTGAAAATGAGTTAATGCTTCATCATCAGCATTTGGGACACTCATCCTTTAGTGTTTTAGGTAGATTGTATCCTTCTTTATTTGAGAAAGCAAATAAACAGAAACTTGTGTGTGATGCATGTGAGTTTGGAAAGCTTACTAGAAGCTCTTATGTTAGTTCTGGTCATAGAAGTTCTCATGCATTTGACTTGGTACATTCAGATATTTGGGGGCCTTGTTCCACAAGTTCTATGAATGGATACAAGTATTTTGTTACATTTATTGCTTGCTTCTCTCGTGTTACTTTGTTATACCTGGTGAAGAATAAGTGTGATGTATTTGGGTGCTTCCAAAACTTTCATAGGACTGTTCAGACTTAATACGGAGCAGTGGTGAAAGTATTAAGGTCAGATAATGGGATAGAGTATACCAACAGAGCGTTTGAAGAATATTTGTCAGCTCAAGGAATATATCACCAGACGACCTGTCCATACACACCAGCTCAGAATGGGGTAGCGGAAAGGAAGAACAGACATCTTTTAGAGGTTGCTAGAAGCATGATGATCTCTATGAATGTCCCAGAAACATTATGGGGGCAAGCAGTATTGACCGTAGCAGCGCTGATTAACAGAATGCCCTCGAGAGTGCTGGATTGGAAGTCTCCGTGTGAGACATTGAAGGGAGATAATGGTGGGATTCTTCCACTTAAAGTGTTTGGCTGTGTGTGCTTTATGAAGGATAACAGGCCATCTGTCGGGAAGCTTGCCCCTAGAGCTGTGAAGTGCATCTTTGTGGGATATTCTGCTACTCAGAAGGGATATGTTTGCTGGAGCCCGGTGGAGAAAAGGTTGTTTGTGAGCATGGATGTGCACTTTCGAGAACTCGAGTCATATTACACCCAGAAGGTAACTTCATCCGCTGGTAACTCGCCCAATACTAGAAGTATGAGGCGAGAGAAGGAGAATGGTGAGAGATCGGTGAACAATGTGGAGAAATCCATTTCTGTATCGATTCCGTGGGAGGGAGAATTGGTTGAAGAGGAGCAGGAGAATGATGAAGAAATGGAAAATGAGACAAGAGGTGTTAGGCCCACTGTTCAGGGGGAGCTACTAACCTATAGTAGGAAGGGCAAGCAAATTGCAGGAACAGTACCTACAGTGCCACTAGTGCTACCAAATCTCTTGCCAACGCCTGCCTCGACTCCTGAAACACCTACACCACCACCAGTTTCATCCCAAGGTGATAGCATTCCTCTCCCTACTCCTCCCACACCAATATCAATATGGAGGACTACTCGTAGTAATGCGGGAAATCCTCCCGATAGATATGGTTGGGATCTTACCCAATTTGTATCATATTCTAACATCCACCCTGCACATGGAGCATTCATTGCATCATTAGACTCTGTTACTGTACCTAACAATTGGCAGGTTGCTAAGAATGACCCAAAGTGGAAAGCGGCTATGCACGAGGAGCTAGGGGCTCTTGAGAAGAACCGAACTTAGGAGCTAGTAAAACTACCAGAAGGAAAGAGAGCAGTTGGATGTAAGTGGGTATTCACTGTGAAGCAGAATCCAGATGGACAAGTTGAACGCTACAAGGCTCGTCTGGTGGCAAAAGGGTATAGTCAGACATATGACATCGATTATGATGAGACTTTTGCACCGGTGGCAAAGATGAGCACTGTTCGGACCTTAATCTCTCTGGCAGTAAATGGTGAATGGAAGCTATACCAACTAGATGTGAAGAATGCATTTCTTCATGAAAATCTAGCGGAGGAGGTATACATGGAGATACCACCAGGATTTAGTACAGATCAGACAGTGGGAAATGTTTGCAGATTGAAGAAGTCTCTCTATGGCCTGAAGCAATCTCCCCGTGTTTGGTTCGACAGATTTAGGCGGACTATAATAGGTATGGGATACCAGCAGATTAATGCCGATCATACCGTGTTCTTTCGAAGAAGTGGATGTCACATCACCATGCTTGCAGTATATGTGGATGATATGATTATTACAGGGGATAATGAGAAGGAGATTGTCCAACTCAAAGTGAGACTGGGTAAGGAATTCGAGGTGAAAGATCTTGGCTTGCTTCGATACTTTCTTGGAATAGAGATAGCTCAAGGAGCGGAGGGGATCGTCCTATCCCAGAGAAAGTATGCACTGGATCTTCTCAAAGAGACAGGGATGTTAGGGTGTAAACCTGCAACTACACCGATCGACCAGAAGTTTAAGCTGGGTGCTAAAGCTGGAAAACCAGTTGATCGTGACAGATACCAAAGGCTGATGGGCAGGTTAATTTATCTGAGTCACACACGTCCCGATATCTCTTTTGCAGTGAGCGTGGTAAGTCGCTACATGCATGATCCAAGGAAGGGTCATATGGACGCAATGTATCAGATTCTAAGGTATTTGAAGAGTGCCCCCGGAAAAGGGCTAATCTTCAGGAAGAATAAACATATGAGCATTGAGGGTTATTGTGACTCTGATTGGGCTAGCTGTGCTGATGACAGGAGGTCCACCTCAGGATATTGTATCTTTATAGGAGGCAACTTGGTCTCGTGGAAGAGCAAGAAGCAATCAGTGGTGGCGAGATCAACAGCTGAAGCAGAGTATAGAGCTATGGCCTTAGGAGTTGCTGAATTGTTATGGTTGAAGAGTATGTTGGTGGAGCTGAAGCTGGATCAAGGAGCTAAGATGAAGTTGTGGTGTGATAACAAGTCAGCCATCAGTATCGCCAACAACCCAGTGCAACATGATAGAACCAAACACATTAAGATTGATAGGTTCTTCATCAAAGAGAAGTTGGATAGTGGACTACTGGAGCTAAGTCATGTTTCGACTAAGTACCAGACAGCAGATTGTCTGACTAAGGGACTTAGCTCAATAGATATGGTTAGAGGATGTGACAAGATGAGCTTAGTGGATATCTTTCGCCCATCTTGAGGAGGAGTGTTGACTTATGAGTAATATGTAGGGACTTATTTGTAAGTTGTATTTTGTAGGGCCTATATAAGCCCAAGAGATCTCATAATAAGATTTAGGGTTTTCATTCTTTTCTCATGAACACAAACAATTCTTAGGATGAATAGTATTTTGCCTATCGCCTTTCCTAGTGATTGGTTTTATCCATTTTGCTGCCAGAATTCATCACATGGTTTGCTTGTTTGTTATAGAAAAGCTTTCGGACATGACTTGCCGTGTTCACTTTCGGTCCTTATAATTGTCAAGAAAAAGTTATTCCGAGGTTCTTAATTAAGTCCTTTGTGACATCCCACATATATAACCACAATCAATTGAACTCTTCCTCTTGAAAGAAAATTCATGTGGGCAGTCACGTGGTATTGAGCACAGGAACAATTGTTTTTATTAAGTACTTAGTTTCCAGCAAAATGCTAACGCCATTCGGGTAAATTTATCTACCTCATTGAGGAAATACTGTGCACGTACCTCATCTCACTTGCTCCTTTGCTCTTCTCTACTTGGAGTAAACTTGATTGTCTTTGCATGGCTAGCTAGTGGTTAAGGTAGAGCAACATTTAAAATCTAGGTTCTATAATCTGTTGATCAAGAAAAATTGTCATTCTAGCAACTATGAAAGGTCTTGAGTATTCAGAAGCTAAGGTTGAACAAAGATCCTAGTTCTAAATTAATAGCCAAAAATACAGTAACTTCTAAAAATGAAAAAATAACTAAAAAAGCATGAAAAATTCATCGACAGTCCAATAATCTAACATGAAGACTCAATGTCTGATAGTGGCTTGTTGATCCCCATGGAAAGATAGTTGTCTTCTTTAATCATGCAAATATTCAGCAGTGCAGGTAGTACCATTCCTGGGATATGCGTGGCTGAACTGGTATCATTCACATTCATTTTGATACACATCCAACTATAAAATGAATATGGTAGCATATTTATGAAATTTAGATGTGTCATGCAACATTCATGTGATGAACCATAAACTATCCTATGAGAAATTTAGGATTCTCCCTTGTTCCGGTTGAATGTTGAATTATGTCTATGCCTTGCGGAGGTGAAATCATAATGGAGCTTTTTCTTGATTTATGGCTTACCGTATGTCTTCAAGATGACGTTGATGTATTATTACTATCTCATCCATTTATGGTAGTGCTTTACCGTCAACCCCATCCTGGGTTCATTCTACATGTCGTGTAATCCATCAGGAAACAAAGGAGTTCGTGAAGGTAGTAAGCGATCTACTTATTATCCTACATATTTTGAAAGTCCGTTCTCTTTTTTTGTGTTTCTAGGATGATCAGTTTCAAACAGCTTGCACTATTTATAACATCATAGGTCTAGTTTCCCTGTGATAAAAAAGGTCCTAATTAAACGGTGAATCCCACTGTAGCAAGGTAAGGTACTAGTCGTCATCATGGTCATTGTAAACAAAAATAGCAACAATGTAAACACCAACAACATCAAAGCCTTTATTAAACATTTCAAATGGACTGCATGAATCCTCTTTTAGGTGGTAGTCCATTTGCTATGGCAACAATCGATCTTCTGAAATGTTCTTGAATCCTAGAAGATCCACATAGCCTCACTCATATTAAGCTTAACTTTACATAGTATTTGGCTCTTGTGAGGACACACTATAGACAGTTCTGATCTGGATCCTGCTTCTGCTTATACAATCAACTTTTAGCGTTTACAACAGAGTTGATAATGCCATCATGAAATGACAAACATCAGTTCTTAGTGCAGCTGAAGTCTGCTGCAATGATCAGAAGGCAACTTTTAAATTAGAAGTTTGCATGGTATTTGAAGACTTGATATTAGAAAAAGTAATTACCCTAGCTTGGGACCTCTTGCTTGATCACCGTTTGATTGATGCTGAGGCTGGCACAGTTCAAGATCAACTGGAACATGCGACTCTTGATCAGTGATGCTAAAACCATATGGCGTAATTGAACCCCTGTTGACTGTACCATTTTGCCTCCTTGATCCATGAACCTGCACGTACAAGATAGTTCTATGCTTAGCACATGATACCAGCAACTCCCCATTTTATCGTGAGTTGAAAAATTGAAATAGTATTTTTCTAAATTTAGAGTTCCTTTGCTCATAGTTCTTTACCTTCTTCTGTAATTCCATGTTTTCTTGACGCATAAGGTTCATCTTCTTATAAAGTTCCATATTTTCTTGGTGAATCAGGTAACCCTGCAATGGAACATGAAGTTTAGATCCTGAGCTATATCACATATTACTTCGAAATGAAAGGTGTACATTGTGTGCTATGAACCTTTCGATTGAGTTCTTGAATTTCAGTAGTTAATAATTGTTCCTGCAATAATAAAAACCACATATTGAAGCAGTGAAAAGGGTAAAAATGAGTTTGAGTGGTTGGTGAACGTGACCAAGTTCATCCGCACCTTCTGCTTTCTGACACCACACATGCTCATCTGTAGTTGGTTCTCTAGATTTTGGAGATCTTGGATGCTTAAACCAGAAAGCTGTTCTCCCATCAATTGCCTGCACAATTAGCTCTTAAAAGATTGGATGCGCTATGATTACCTTTTAATTGTGCATTGCTAGTTCTATTTTTCCTCGTGGTGCAATTCATGTTTCTCATTCTCCCTTGATTCAAATAGTTTGAAAAGAGGGTATAGGTTCTACCTCATATTTTTACCGACTCAGCATAAGCAGACTATATAATACAATACTATGTGATGTTATCATTTAGAAGAATCTATACCAATAGGTTGCTAAAATCATCAGTAACTATTATATGTTGGATGGGTCGAATCAGACTATCTCCACGCAAGTTCAAAGCTTATTACATGTTTGATACATGAAAAACATGCCCCCTCAGTATCATGCAGGTATTTATAGTGCCATGAATTATGTACATTCATAGAAATCAATGAAAAACATAAGATAAATTGTAAACGTGCAGATTATTCTACTGTACTTGGAGGTGATTGCAAATGTGAAAACTAAAACTGGAAATGGTGTTGTCAAATGCAGTAAAAGATGCTACCTTATGCAATGTTTGGGCTTCTCGAAGAAGTATGGGCCATTAAGACTTTGTGAAAGCAATTACCTTGCTGAAGATATAGAAAATTTCTGTTTTGTTATATTTTGCTGATAATTGATTGATTCACATTAAGTTCGAGCATGTTTGGGAATGGGTCAAAGTGGCTTATAAGCCACTTTTGTGGCTTATAAACCACTGAGACATGTTTGGCAAACACCTTTGTTTTGGCTTATAAGCCCAAAAATATAAGCTGGGATAACTCACCTTATTTTTTGGTAGCTTATAAGCCACATAGTTTAACCAAGTGAAAGACCACCCATACAGCTTTCTATTCTCTTTGTCCAACCTTTTTTTTTGTCATTTTGACAACAAAGATGGATCATAATCCACATTTGCCAAACTTCCTACTGTTGGAAATGACTTATAATCCCTTAAGTTTACCAAACACTTAGGATTATATCTACTTGAATTATAAGTCATTTGTGGATTTTAAGCTTAATAGATTATAATCTAAAATTGCCAAACATGGCCTTAAAAAGCCTTGTTCATATTATGACCCTTAGGTAAACTTCCTAATAGAATTCTATGTGAAATATAATACAAATACACATCGATGGCTAGTTGAACAACATAATGCTAGCTCATGAGCTTGTTAAAAGCTACAGCAGGAAGCATATCTCCCCAAGGGCTATGATCAATATTGACATTAGGAAAGCATTCGATTCAATCAGCTGGAGCTTTATTCATTCTGTTCTACAAGGCCTGGGTTTTCCTAAAAACATGATCAACTGGATAATGGTCTGCATCTCATCTCCCAAGTATTCAATCTCATTTAATGGTGGACTCCATGGTTATTTCAAAGGGGAAAGATGCCTGAGACAGGGTGATCCACTCTCTCCCTATCTCTTCATTCTGGGAATGGACTACCTTTCAAGGAGCTTATTCACTTTAAAGGAGGACAGGTCTTTTAAATTCCACCCTAAATGCAAGAACCTCCAGATTTCTCATCTGAATTTTGCAGATGATCTGTTGTTATTTGCTAAAGGGGAACCTTATTCAGTGCAAAAACTTCATCAGTGCATTAAATCTTTTGGGGAAGTGTCAGGATTAGAAGCAAATCCAGAAAAATGTTCCATCTTCTATGGAGGTGTTGAGGACTCAGTTAAAGCAAATATAGCTAATTTTCTTGGATTTGCAGAGGGATCAATGCCTATTAAATATCTGGGTGTCCCTCTAATTACAAAAAGGCTTGCTTACAATGACTGCTACCCCTTTTTGATAAAATCAGAAGACAATTGCTGAACTGGACTAAACACAGGAAATTGACTTATGCTGGCAGATTGCAGATCATTAAGAGTGTGATTCTTGGAGTGCTTATATACTGGACATCCATGACTTATGCTGGCAGATTGCAGATCATTAAGAGTGTGATTCTTGGAGTGCTTATATACTGGACATCCAGCTACATTCTTCCTGTAAAGGTCCTTTACAAGATTGATGAAATCTGTAGGCATTTTCTGTGGGGTAAAGATGAACATTCATCAAAGTTATCTCTTGTAGCATGGGAAAAAGTCTGTTTAGGGATGAAACAAGGAGGTCTGGGGATTTATTCAGCTCAAATTTGGAACACTGCTTCAGCACTCAGAAGCATTTGGTACATTCATTCAAACAAGGAATCTCTGTAGATAAAATGGATACATGAAAATTATCTAAAGCATAGAGATATCTGGCAAGTTGAAGCAAGATCAGGTGACTCGTGGATGTGGAAGCAACTAATTAGAATAAGAAACAAGGTCATGGCTGAATTAGGAGGAGCTGGAAATGTTCAGGCCCTGATTATGTCGTGTTGTGTTAACTCAAAGCCAAAACTGTCAGCTTTGTACAAAAGATTATCCCCTGTAATTAACTCAGTGACATGGCACAAAACAGTATGGGGAGGCTTAAATGTGCCCAAACATTCCTTCATTAGCTGGTTGGCGATACAAAACAGACTTCTTACTCAAGATAGGCTATTGAAGAGAGGAATTATCAACGCTAATCTGTGTTGTCTGTGCACAGGTTCAAACATTGAGACTAGAGATCATTTGTTCTTTGAATGTGCATATTCCTCTTACATATGGAACTCAATCATGGATTGGATGAACTTCAAATGGAAATCCTGCATCTGGAATCAAATTTGGGGCTGGTATTCAAGTTTGAGAGGCAAAGCTATACAGGTCAAGTTCAAAAAATTGGTATTGACAGCTACAATATACTGTATATGGAGGGAGAGGAATGCGAGACTGTTTACCCAGAAGACTAGCAATGAGGATCACATGATCAAGGTCATAAAATTTGAAGTTTCTACCATCATTTTTAACAGTTCCCCCTAAGCGGATTTGTCAGGATAATTTGAGGGCTGTATCCGATTTCTGTTTGTGTTCTCAGTAACTATATTACTGAGTTTTTTTTTTAGGTGTACATAATTTCATATTTGGTTGATGAATAAAGTTTTTCATTTACCAAAAAAAAAAAAAAACGCTACCTGTGACTTTCTTGCAAGCTATGTAATTGCTGCCTCAAGCTCGATGCCTCCTTCTGCCAGTACTGCGCTGAGAAAAATAGAATTTAGCATTTACAGTATGGATAATGAACATGGCTTAAATGAGAACTGTTTGTTAAAACGTCCTGTAAAAGAAATTCAATCAGAGGGTCATTCTAAAGAAAATTTTACAGATTATATATGCTTTGGAGTACATGTATTAGACAACCAATATTTCATGATGCTGAAGCACTTAGCCGAAAGCTTAAGCAATGTGCTAATAACCCACCAATGTATGTAGAGCAAACTTCACACACATTTAACTCCCCTTGTCATTGGTTGTTGGTCACATGGAAAGGCTTCAAGTATAAGCATGAATCACTTGCAAAGATAAAATAATTAGGCTGGATTGATATATTTACGATTTGCATTGCTGAGGTTTGAATGAAGTACTTCATAATGCTCAAATACATATTGTACGACTTCACCCGAAAGCCTTATGATAAAGGGTACTGGTGTATATCAAGCACACTTCACAGTTATATGCAAACTATGTTTCCTTGACAGTGCCATTTATTTGTAGCCTAAATTAATAAATCTTTCTAGTTTAAAATTTCTAGCCTTTAGAAAGGATATTCTTATAAAATTTTGATGCTTTTAATGTCACAATTTCCTTTTAAATATGCAATTTCATTGTCTTCCTAAATCTTCATAGCTGCATTGCGGCATGCCATTCCTATCAATCATTCGTTGCACAATCAAATTACACCGGCCAATGTTTCCATTTTTCTAGTTCGTGGGATCCTAATCAGCTCTGTTTACTAGGCGCATATTAGAGTATTCAATTAGGACCGACAATTTAGATTCATGAATTCTTTATGTGGGATAGGATTTATTTTTATGTGGATCCAAGGTTTCCAATAGACTCAAGGATATATTGGTTTGATTCAATACATATAATTTAAACCATGATAAATTTAGTTTTATGAGGCCAGTTCAAATCTTGACAACTCTATATTTCCCTGGTTTAATTTAATGATTTATTTATTTATTTATTTGTTTTTATTTTTATTTTTTTGTTCAACATAGTTGGTTTCTCATTTTGGGTCACCCTTCATATCGTATGGAACAGTGCCAATATGATGATTTAGAAGCTAGATCATGCTACATTGCATAGGAAAGTTTTTTTGAAGTTTTAGAAACCCTAGACTTGGTGTCTTATCTAATATATCTGGTTTTCATTTGATACAGTTTGTTTCATTCCATTTCCTCAAATCTTACTATGCTTAGGTGGGATGAATATTTGTTTAACAGAAATGCAGTCCATTTAAGCGGCCAATGTCACTTAGGCATCCTAGACACTTAAAACTAGCTAGAGGGTTTGGGTAGTGCCTAAGCTTAGGTGGACGCCTATACCGCCTTTTGAAATAGTAGGTACATGTATGAGATACATCAAATTTGTAAAAGGTGGGATATAGAGACTATCTTTTTCATTCTCATTTATACTACATATAAAAGAGGATTGCCTTGTTAAAACTTTAAATTTCCATTTTTGCAACTTTAATAATTCTCAAATTTGTTATTAGTTGTAATTAATCATTCACTAATTATATATAACCTCTTATTAATTATGCATTTCCTCACTTTTTCAAAACCATTGGTCACACTATTATTTAATTATTTAAATATGTTATATTTAATAGAAAATTTAAAATTTATATCTAATTTATCTTCACATAATATTTAAAATTCAAGACAAATTAAAAATAATAAAAATTTATTACGCTTATGCCTTTGGTTTCACCTCTTATGGAGCACTACCCCTTACCTTTCGTCTTACTAGCTTTTTAAAAGTAAGATAATAATATGAAAAATAATTTATATTTATTATAATTATAATATTATTAATAGTACAATAATTTTAATATTATTTTTTAAAGTAATAAATTACACTGTAATTTAATATTTTTATAAACTTAGTATAAATTATTTGCTAATAGTGTAATAAACTAAGTATGAAATTAAAATGCACTAATAGTATTATAATTATGCTACGTATAATATTATTATATTTAAAATAGAAGAAATTATTTAATATATTATAATTAATTAATAAATTATAACAATTATGCAAAATATAATAACTAATCATACAGTTCTTTATCCATAGTTTTATCATATAATTTATTCATTTAAATAAAATTATAATTGTTCAAAATTTATATTGCTATACAAGTCATTTCATTATTTTGCAGCCAATTAAAAGTTTTTTGAAAAACATAAAACAAAACAGGTTATGCTTTCGTGCAAAGCACGTGCACTATACTAGTGTTATAAGAAAAAAAATGCATATAATATTTTTATATTTTTTAATTATGATATATAGTATTATATATATATATATATATATATTATATTATATTATTATTATATATATATATACTATATATCATATATATATATATATTATTAGAGAGAGAGAGAGAGAGAGAGAGAGAGAGAGAGAGAGAGAGAGAAGAGAAATGGGTATACTTGTACAAGCCAAAATTTTGTGGCCTGGTGTGAGGTGTTCTGCATTCTCATCCACTCATGTCAATTGGGGGGACCACATTCATCCATGTGAATGTGGTCCCCCATTTTGAATGGTGGAGATAATATGCCACCTCAGCTACCAGCCACAGTTTGTGCTTGTACCAAGCATACGCCATATTTCATTCATATATTATATATATATTATATATATATATTTATATATATAATAAACGGCGCTCCAATTTATAGTTTTGAGTGTATGCTGAAAATGAATCCGACCATTGTCCACGAGTTTCAAAAAGTGATATGAAATATAAATTTATAGTTTTGAGTGTATGCTGAAATGGATCCGACCCTTGTCCACGAGTTTTAGAAAGTGATATGAAATATAGAATATACATTCAAGAGGTGTACTAAGTGTTCTAAACTAAAAAAACGTATTATAACTGAGTACATGCCTGAATAAATGTATGTGTATATGCAAGGAGTGCCCAAGGAGTT